TTAATATTTATTGAAGATTTTCCATTGTTATGGTTGATATATTGTGTCAACTTGGGGAGTCTAGAGGTTTGGCTAAGTGACTCAGCAGGAAGCCAGGGTGCTTGCTTTGTATACATCCTGAGCCTGTGGAAGAGGAGGGCATGGAGATTATGTGAGAGCTACACATCCCTTAGGTGGGGGTAGCCTGTTTACAATGTAAGGGAGGGAAAGAAGTTGCTTGCCGCCATTCCTCCCTTTTGCTCTGGCTGCTTGGCTGTTCGGCTGCCATTCCCCCCTTTGCTCTTGTTGCTTTGCTTTCTTCTGCCTCGGAGCCAGCCAAGTATGGACTGAAACCTCCACAAACTGTAAGCTAAATAAACCTTTCCTTCCTTAATTTTGGTCGTTGGGTATTTTGTCTCAGCAATGAGAGAAAAGTAACCAAGACATCCATATATAGAGTACAATGCTATATATAGGCATGAACTATCACCTTCAGAAAATTCTAAAATAGGTAAAATTAGTATTCACATTTTATAGAGGAGGACAGAAGACATAAGAAATTAGTTCAAGATCACACATCTGGTAAGTACTGGATTCAGTCATAAAATCCACCAGGAATTGAATTTTTTAAATGAAGGCCAGGGACAGGAAATGAATCTGCATACTTAGTCAAATATGATAAGAATGTGAACTAACTCTCACTCTGAGTTTTCACAGTGTCTCAGAGATCAAGTAAATAGTCTTTAGCAGAATCCAACCCAAGCATGCCCTTCTTTACATTCAGCACGTGCACTCGCTGAGGAACAGATCATTTGTTACAGAGAATGATTCTATTTTGTACCATCCCTCCTCCTGGTAGTGACCTTTTCCAGTTTTTTTCCAACGATCACATGTGAGCAAGCTAACTTTTCCCTAAGCAGATTGCCTGCTTACAAACTGTAACAGGAAAAGAGAAAGATGCTCTAGAGCTGGTCTCAGGTAGACATTACAATTTTGTCTCATGAAGGTTTGAAGCAACCTGCCAGAGGTTTTCAAACTTGTTCCACTGTGATTTGTTATCAGTGCACAAACTCTCCTTGTCGTCTGCTCTTTGGTGTCTTTGCTAAGTGCCCAAGACAACTGGCCTGCACAGAAGCTTGAGAGCTAGCAGGAGGGTCAGCTTAAGCCTTCTTCTTAGTTCTTTCTTTTTCTCTTTATCACTGTTGAACTTAATATTTGTTCTTCTTTTACAATAACTTACTATATGTGTCTACTATACTACTCTCCTAATACAATTTTTAGGTATTTTACAGTCTCATAACAATCTTATATAGGATCTACCATTAACTCATCTTTCAGATGAAAAATTAGGCCATAATGAAATGCTTAACTATCAGAGGTCACACACCGAGGAACAACATTTCCTCACTCACTAAAATGTAGATCTATTTAACTCCAGAGGATGCATACTTAACTGAAAGTAAATGGGCTGCAGGATGAAAGAACAATGGATCACATATGTGTGGATCTAAGATAAACCTGGGTTTCTATAAAGTGATAGCATTGAGATATAGAGGTTCTTAGTCTGAGGTCCATGGGCCTCTGAGTATCCACAGATAGACTGGGATAGGTTCTAATACATTAAAACAGAATTTGGTAAAATTTTTCTTAGAAGACAATTAATTGTGTTAGACTTTGTAGACTTTAAGGGATTTGTCCCTGTACTTATCTCTAGCTCTGTAGTGAAAAAAGTCACAGATAATACAGAAATTACTGAGGAGGCTGCATCTCAATAAAACTTTATTTGCAAAAACATGCAGCTGTGTTACAGTTTCTAAATAGTATGCAAATCCTATGTGCAGATATGTATAACTGTTTTTGTTATTAGAAGATCCATAGCTTTCTATAGTTTCTCAAATAAGTTCAAAATCCAAGATAGTTAAGAAATATTGGTCTTACATCCCTCTAGGCTTAGACAGTCCAAGATCTGATGATTTTGCATGCCTGTTTAATTATTAAGCTCTTAGAAATTCTTTCTCCTTAGCAGATTCTTCTGATACACTCTACTGTAAACTCTTAAGAGGACAATAATTACTTATATTGAGGAAGAAACATGGGTCACATTACCATTTCAACCTCTTGTTTACTGGTGAGATGATACAGGGGAAAATAAATACATTCCATGCTGCAATGTAACAGCTCAGTCCTGCCCCAGACAGCCTGAGTTTTGCTGAGGACCTTTCCTTAGGCCACACTGAGCCTTCACCACAGAAGGAACTCACTTATTCTGATCACACTCATATGCGGGTTAGACTCCTGGAGTCAGCAAAGTCTGAGCAGGTATGGAGTGGAGGGGAGGGATATCATCACGTCTTTGACTGATTCATCTCTGCATCTATGCAGGGACCCTCTCCTCCCAAAGGAAACATTTTTCTTAGGACTCCTTAGCTTCATAAATTACAGCATTTTGTTCCTTGCATGCACTATATCAACATGTGCACCTAGATCTGGCTACAGGTTGAATGTGTCCCTTGAAGGATTTATAGATCTCAGTTTGGTGATGTTAACATGTAGTCAGACGTCTAAGAGGTAGGGCTTAGTGGAAGGTAGTTACTGGTCCCTCCTGGCTTTACTCTGCGTTCCTGTCTTGCTATGTGGTCTTTCTCTCTCTCTATCTCTCACTATTTGTGATGCTAGATGTCACGAGACCTTCACAACAGATAAGCTGATGTCAAACCTCAAGAATGGTGAGTGAAATAAATCTCTTTATAAAGTACCCAGCCTCAGATATTTTGCTATAGTAATGGAAAAATTGATTAATGCAATGTGCCTTTACCCTGCTTCCCATTCCTGGGTTTTACCTTCTTGAGGGGGAGTTTTGGGGTGAGGTATATGGATTAGATTCTATTGTGTCCCCCACAGAGTCTGGTATTACACTTTGTACACATGTGACAGGAAGAGCAAAGAACTAGAGAAAAGGAACGTAGAAGGCATTATTTCATGTTGTTAGCACTGAGATCTCTGAAGGCCAGTTTTAAATTCTCATACAAAATTTGAAAATCGAAACAAGGCTGTTCAATTGACTTGAATAACAAACAAGATCAAGTAGGTTGAATTTTAGGAAGGAAATCCTGATTATATTAAAACAAGGAAGTACAAATACTATGAGTCATAATGTGTGTTTATATTCCAGGTCTTCCTTAGAATGCAGAACTGAGCAGCAGGGAAGGACAGGAGAAACAAAAGGACATGAAGAAATGGCAGCAACTGGAAGAGAAGGGGAGAATAAAACAAGGGGAACAAAGAGACAAAGAGAAATAGTACAGACAAAAGGACAAAGCAGAGCGAGTCTGCAGCTACACAACTACTGCTGCGTTGAAATTCAGTGTCATTAGGGTGCAGCTATTTCTCACAGCAAGTGCCCCCCAAAGAAGGAAATAAACCAGCAAAGGGAAATAACAGGAGTATAAATCACTTAGCTGGTACTTATGGAGACTTTATTCCATATTAGACTTCTAAATATATATTACATCGGGATTAGTGTTAGCTCTGTGAAATGAAACATCAATAAGAGGACCACATGGTGCTGACTGCACCCCCAGCTAATACTTCAGCTCAGCTTTAATTATTATGTTCATCTGGCAGCAGCATGGTGCCAGTAAACAGACAGGGGTCACAGGAAGCCTGGGTGCTTGTCCTGGCAGACATATCACCATATGACCTTGGCTGGCCAAGTTCTGGGCCTCAGTTTCTTCATTCATTAAATATGAGTATGAATTCTCTGTTCTGCTTATTTCATGGGTGTTGGAAGGAGAAAAAGCAGAAATATATATACTCACATGCTTGGGTAAGTATAAAATGCCAGATAAATGTAAAATTGACCTTCTCCTCTTCATTTAACAATGTGGTGGGTAGATAGATGGGGGTGGGGGGTGGGGATGATGGCATTTTGAGCAGAAGGCTTAGTGACTCAAATGAAGTGTCTTTTTTCCCCCTCAGTAATATGTGGTTTAGAGTTACTACTGCTTTCTCAATGTTTTTAGGCATACTTTTCCCCTTCAGAAATGCCAAAGGTGAGAAATACTATTCTACTGCTATAATCTGTCACCCTTGCTGCCTGGGCAAGACATGCATAGACAGTTTAGTAATTAAGCTTTTCAACACTGCATCATAAAGTTTTATTCTGGCAAAGGCTGTATTTATCAGCTAACAAGTATTAAATCACCCTACTGCTTAAGCCGTTTCTCACTTGAATATGCTCCTTTCAAAACAGAGCAGCTTTCCTTGGCTGACTTGAATAATAAAAGTTCTTATTTGGAAATATGGCGATGATGTGTGGTCTTGCAGGGTGGAAATACACACACCTCAGCGACTGTTCCAAGTAGTGAGACCCCACCTCCCGGGGGAGCTTGATACCTCTGCTCTGCAGTCTTCCACAACGTCCTGCCAACCGACTCCCACGGCCCTCTGGCCAGCAGGAGATGTATTCCTTCTTCTTTTTCATTTCTAAAAGAAGAGGCAAATGAAAATCTAAATATAAACAGGTTTTCAAAATGATTAAACTAGCAAAATGACAATGATTATATATGTTTAGAAGTGTTAAGTTTTTCTTATATTGTTGTAGTCTTACCAAAACATACAGAATTACTAAGGCAATATACTTAGAATGACTAAACATTAGAAGTTATTAATAATGGCTTAAAGGAATACTTTCTCTAACTAACCCACTTCCCTCTTTATTAATCTTTTTCTCCTTTGTGGAACATATGCTCATAAATAAATATAGCCGTGCTCTTAAAATTTCAGGACACTTTCATTCAAACAGCGCTAAAGTTGTATTTCCTAAAAACAAAATAATAAATACAGTTGAATGACTTCTTTACCGTATTTTACAGGTAAAATCAATGTAAAGACAAGTGTTGATCAAACATAGGTTACAATGATGAAGAAAGCCCATACTTTTCAGTATTTTAGACTAGAAATTGTACATTTGTTTTGATTTCTCTGCTTTCAAAATAGGTGACATTAACCACATACAGGCATTTTAATTTTTATAGCAATTTATTGCTGAAAGGAAACATATAACAATATGGCACAAGATCTTAAAACTCCCTTTACAGCTCTAGAAGCATGTTTTGCCTGTGCATGTATGTGTCCATATGACAATGGACGTGTCAATCTTTAAGAACTACTAAGTAAGGAGTATTTTGTTGAACTTTTCTTTTTTATGCTGGGAGGTTGCACTAATTCCTTTCCTTTCAAAACTCACCACTTTACTTTTCAAATTAGCAATAGGTAGCTTGTTTTAAAAGGCTGGGGATCAATTTTTCTCTAGCCTGCAAGTCATGGGGTTGAGTCCCTGACAAATATGAGTGATATGCTGAACTACACTGGCAGAACTGAACTATTTTAAGTGCATCTATTTTCTAGTTCAGTATATTTTTGGTTGGACACAAAAATTCATTAAACTTGACACAGTCTAAATGCCAAGGCACATACTTAAGAGCATGCAAAGGTAACAGCACCAGCTACAGGAGACAACACAAGTTAAAGAGATATATTTTTCTCTCACTGTTTGATTTTAATCTTTCATATTAAGACTGGAATCTGTTTTAAGCTTATAAAGTATTATATGACTAGGAAAATCAAACTGAATCTTGCTATTTTCTGAAAATCTGCAGGGAATTTCCTTTACTAGTCAAGTCAGCATCCAAATTACAACCCCATGGCATCTGATAAGTTGGGAAATAAATAACCAGCAAAAACTACCTTGTGGATTCCAGTTTGGAGAACTCTTGTAGCTCACTAATTTGAAAAAAAGTTGAATCAAGGACACATTTGAGACTTAAAATGAGGGTTTGATAATGATTATTCTTTATTCAGAACAAAGATTTAAAGGGATAAATAATAACATGAACTGCTGCTTTTGATTCTTAATGCAGCTTTTGGGACGGTCTATTTCTTATTGCTAAGCACCATTTTTTTTTTTTCTAACAAAGACTGGCATTTCAGAAAAGTGGAAAAGGAATAAGGTAAAAGACGTTTTCACTCTTATATGGAGTATAACTGTCAAAGTTATAAGATTGATTTTATACTCTATATGAAAAATGACAAGTGAAGAACAATTTTCCAGTAATTTCTCTCAACAAAATAATCAATAACAGAAAATTGTGAGACAAAAACCCAAAGTAACCGTAAAGAATAAGAACCCAGGCACTAAATATGATTCCTCAAAGCTTCCAGAAGACATAGGGCAGAAGTGATGCAGCCATCAAAGTTGGACTGAGTGAATCCATCCCCTCCACATGCAAGCAAAGGTTTGAGGTGAAGAGTCATCTGGCCAGGGCATTTTGCTGCACCACTTGTAACCTGAAAAATGTAAAAAAAAAAAAAAAAGTATTACAATTGACATTTGGTGTTTACTATGCTGCAGGGGCAACATCCGAAACTTGTCTACCTGGAGAAGTCAATATTTCTCAAAAGGAACATCAGAAACAAACAAACAAACAAAACCCCTTAAATCCCCATTCCAGCCCACATGTTTACATCTGTATTAGTAAATGTTTAAATTTCTCATTATTAGATAAGATAATCAGAAGTGTATAGAATTTAAAAATAATAGGCACTGTGGCCCAAATACTTACACCCCCCCAAATTCCTGCGTTGAAATCCTAACCCCCAGGGTGATGATAGGAGGAGGAGGAGCATTTGGGGGTATGATTAAATTGTAAGGAATTAATGTCATATTTTAGGCCCAGCAGAGTTCGTTGGATTTTTTTTTTTTTAAATCATGCAAGGACTCAGCCAGAAAGTGATACCTATGAGAAAGTGGGCCCTCACCAAACAGTGAATTTGCTGGAACTTTGGTCTTGGACTTTTCAGTACTTAGAACTGTGGAAAATAAGTTTCTTTTGTTTATAAGCCACCCAGCCTATGGTACTTTGTTATATCAGGCCAAGGATAAAGGCATACTTTGTCTCTCCCCTCCTCTCTTTTACCCTCCCTTTTTGTCTTCAGGTATTTCCTAAGCTTTGACAGAGGCCCTGTGCCTGGAACAGCAGAATTTTGAAATGTCATATCCCTGTCCTACAGAAGCTTACTCCTGAAACTAAGGCTGCCTTAAAAGTAGAGAGTGGCTCCCTTCTATTATTTACTGAGTGCTTCCTGTGTGCCAGAATGTGTTTCATTTGCTGACTGTATTTCATGAATAAATTAATTCACTGCAATCAACTCATGTAGGAGACTAAGGGAATCTGAGGGGTGTATAAGAACTGGCCAGTTGAGGAAATAGGGCAGGGTCATTCCAGGAAGACTATGTAAACACTCACTCAATCTGTGGGCAAGAGAAAGCAAAACATGCTCAGGAGACTGCAGCACCGTAAGGCAGGTCACTGTGAGTGTGTATATGCATATGTTGGGGAAGGGGGTTGAACGGAGAAAAGGACATGGCAAGAGGGATACGGTGGCGCATATGTCTGTAATCCCAGCACTCTGACAGGCTGAAGCAGGAGGATTGCAAGTTCAAACCCAGCCTAGTAATTTAGTGACTTAGTATCCTATTTCAAAAAAAAAAAAGAAAAAGGGCAAAATAAAATAAAATAAAATAAAATAAAATAAAATAAAATAAAATAAATAAAAATGTAACAGTGTGAAGGCCTTGTGTTCAATCCTCAGTATTACACATACAAAATCCAGATCCTTATAGGCCTTATGCTATTATTCCTCTTTAAAAATCAGAAAAAAATATCAAGCTGTAGTAAATACTATTTGAACTCTGGTGCTGAAATTTTGGTTCTAGACAGACTTAGTGAATGCTTTTTTTTTTTTTTGGTACTGGTATTGAACCCAGGATCTTTGTATTGATGTATATCCTTAGCCCTTTTAACATTTTTATTTAGAGGCAGAGACTCACTAAATAGTACAGGTTGGGCCAGAACTTGACATCCTCCTGCCTTAGCCTCCCAGTTTTGATACAATTACAGTTATGTGCTATCACACCCAACAGCTCCTCCCTTTATAACTTTTTGTTTGTTTACAGTGTTGCGCCATGCGCAAGTTTGAGCAATTTTTTCTTTTTTCAATGTATTCTGTCAGTTTCTTCTTACATGGCTTTTGGATTTTAAAAATTAATTTTCTTGGCGCATTTTAGATATACATAATAATAACATTCATCATAAGGAATCTGTACCCATACGTGATACATCTTGGTTTTTTTCCCCATCCCCCTCTCTTGAACTTCTCTTCCCCTCTTTATTTCCAAAGGCTTAATTTCAATTTTTCCTTCTATTCTCTTTTTTCCTTTTATTTAAAAGTCAAAATTTTTGCATAGATATTTTTTATTTTTATGTGCTAGTTTGCTCTAACAAAAGAGGTGGTATAATTATTTCCTTGTTAAACTTCTAACAATACCAGCACCACTCAGATATAAACACAACGTTTTGTGAGGGTATCCTCTCACTTTTCTGTGGTCCGTTTAGAGCAACATCATTCATCACACAGCAAGTGGTCTTGAAATCGGAAAACATGACCTTAGAGTGGCTGAAGGAGATAGCACACAGTACAGATCCCAAAGTGCACGCTTAGGGATTTAACTAAAATTTTAAAATCTGCTTTTGGAATTGTAACAAGGTATATGATTTGATGCAGCAATAAAATGCTAAGGAAGGAAGGAAACTTCTAGGCCTCTGGATGGTAGTGACTTCAGAATACATCATGGCGTGGGCTGAAAGCAAAGGATGCTATGTTAAAGACTCAAAAAACAGACAAAACTGGGAAGCAGCCTGGCATTCTGGGGACATTTAGTGAAGGGCTAAATAATTTTCTGGCTTTTAACAGGTCCCAAAGGGCGTCAGTTATTACTTGTCCTGCATCATTAATATTCACGATGGCCTCTGTTTCTGAAAATCAATCCTAATATGCATAAAGTATCCAGTGATAGCAGTTCTCGAAAGTTCACTATATATCAAATGTTTCATGTGCACACCTCATTTAATTCGCACTGTAATCCTGTGAGGTGGTTACTATTATTCTTTTTTTATAGAAGATAAAGTTGAGATTCAGAAAGATTGTTAACTTGCCTAAAGCCAGAAAGCTCGTCGATGAAGAAAGAGAGATTCAAACAGAGCAGGCTGATTTCAGAAAATCACACTTCTAATACTTTTGGAAACATTTCCATAAAGATTCGATTTAAGTAAAACAAAACAAAATATGTAATTAGTCACTTAGCTTTAGGCATCTGGAAAATTCACACAAATGGAAAAACTCATTCATATATTCACACATATATATTTATCTAAATATAATATTTAAAGGAAAATAAAAATGTTTTAATAGTTAATCAGCTTTATGGATCTAGGAAATTCATACACATGGGATAACTCATTGATATATATATACACATATATACATATGTATGTCTTTGTAGAATATACACACACATGTAAATCTCCATTTGTGGTAGAGGTTTGATACATACCAGTTGACATCCCTGTACAGACAAACCGTGGCACTACTAAACACACAAGTATTAAGCAGGAGGAGCTTAAGGGAGAAATTCTGCACAGTCATGAGCTGGTAATTTATTGGTGCTATGTAATTTAATTTGATGGGTAGTAAATGGCAGATGCCAAATCACATGGCTGGAAAACTGGGCCACTAATGAGCCAGTCGGCAGTTTGGATGAAATCAATCTCACTGCATATAGGGGGAATCACCCATTGTGCAATTACCCAATGAGGAAAATATGAAAACATAGCATGTGTGTTGGCAAGCTCCTTCAGCCATGTGAAGCAAAGAGCCCTGCAGTGGAGGAGCATGTAATTGTCAAAGCCACAATCTCTAGCAATAACACAGCCTTTGGCTACACTTCCAGCCACAGTGAGGAACCACATCTCAATGACTGTGTTTAAGAGAGTAGTCAGGGTTGAATTAACCCCTTGGAAATCCAGGTTGCTTTGGCTCACATGTGTGCCAGGACTGGTCAGAAAGAATTCTTGCCTGCTCTAAAGTGGATCAAGTAATATTTCTATAAACTTCAATGATGACTGGATTGGATTATAAATTCAAGGCAGAAAAAGTGGTTTTAGTTCTACGTGACTTAAACCCATGTGAGTATGTTTTGCAATTTCTCTTCATCTGCAGAATAAACTGCAAATTCCTAGGCTTCACATAGAGAGTCCTTTGTAAAAGCGATCTTATTTCCATTCAGATCTCCTGGCACTGTTCTCATCTTTGCCACAGGCCCTATCTACATTCAAACCAAGGACCTTCAAATGAGTACTTTCCTTTTTATCCTTTTGTGAACAAGCCATTCCACTGGGTGATGCTGTATCACTCCTCCTTTCTGACAACTAAACCAATCATCCTTCAAGGCTCAGTACAAATATCCCCTGCTCTGAGGTCTTCCTGCTCCGTTGCCTTCCCAGCATTTTATTTCTATTATGTTACTTGCTATTTTGCACTGTTACTATGTCCATGCTTATCTCCCTTCCTAGACTACATTCTCCTATGAGCAGGGACTGTGGCTCACTCATCTTTGTCACCAAGGGTGAGAGCAGTGTGTAGCCCACATTCGAGCACAAGATAAATGTTTACTGAGTTAACAAAGACAATATTATACGCACAGTTGATCAAATGAAGATCTTCACAAGGGACTCTTCTACAAAAACAGTGCTCCTCAGAGGCTCCTGTAGAGCTGGGCAGAGGTGCAAGGGGAAGCGCTGCTGTGGAAGGCTCTCAGTAATGACGAATGAAGGGCTGTCCTCCCATCTCTGTCTGTGGTGCTTTACGGGAGTGTTTCACATGCCATGTATTAAGTTAAACCACACAAACTTACTGATCCTGTGTGTCAAAGAGTGACACGATATTGTTAAGGTACAGCCTAATAGATTCTTTGTATCGTGACTATTCACTAGAAAAGTTAATATAAAAAATCCCTTTGGTGTGTGGATGAAAGATGGAAAGAAAGAAGGAGGCAAAGCAAGTTGAGCATTTCTACAAAATGACAGGTCACAGCAAAAAAGTTCAGTGCCACACATGAGAATGTAATTGTTCCTTCCAAACCTACGTTGACAGCAAGAGCACCTCCTTGGTCTAGTAGGCACTCAGTCACAAGAACAATCCCATCGGTCTGGCACAGAGCAGTTATATTTAAGGCAGGCTGGTTCCAGTTGGCTGCTGAGTACATAATCTGGTTACTTAATCCAACTTTCTAAAACATGGCACCAGCTAATGTTCCAGTCAGTGGTCAAGAATTAAGATCTCATAAATTCTAATCCTTATGTGCCACTAACTTTATAAGGGAACTTGGACAATTACTGAATAATCAAGTTCCTGCTGCTATATTTCTTCATTTGTTACATTATGGATGT